GGTGGTGGCTGACAGCCTCTGGAATATCTGGAATATCTTCATTTATCCCCACTTTTCCCTGGATTTCTCCAGGCTTGGAGCACCACTCAGACTTTGAGTTGCTGATGGGATAATTAAACTGTGAGGAGTTCCAGAACAGCCTTTCCAAAATCCCTCTGCTGGGATTATTCCCATTTGCCAGGAGGATCCCTGAGATGGGAACAGTTTGGGATCTAAACCCTCTGCCCCTGGAACTTGTTCTGTGCTCAGAACTTTGTGTCTGCTCATTATTGATTTTAATTTTCAGGTTGGGGATGTGGAGAGGCACCGGCAGCTGCTGGAATTAATAAAATTGTGGCCAACACAGAAATTCCCGTTTCCTTGGTTTATCAGGATTTTTCTTTATTCATTTGTGATTTCTCCCTCATTGAATTAAAGAAATCCCAGGCAGTTTTCAGGGTGAGTGGGTTCATAAACGAGCAGTTATTTGAATGTGTATTAATTGTAGCAATTCTTTGAGTACCAAGTGTTGAGTTTTTAAAATTCAGATTTTAATTCCAACGAATTTTGGACTGTTAACAGAAAAGGCTTCCCTTGAGGAGCCAAAATCTGGGTGTTGGGAGAGTTGTTGGCACCTTAAGGAAATTTTAAACAATTAAAAGAAATTTTAAACCCAAAGTCTGGGTGTTGGGAGAGTTGTTGTCACCTTGAGGAAATTTTAAACAATTAAAAATGGGTTAAATTAATTAAAGGGTTAATGAGGTGATTTGTAGCTCGTGGCAGCTCTGCCACTAAATCTAAACTGGAATCATTAAATCGCTGTTAAGGTCTCTTTCTTTTAAAGCTTTTATTTGCTTTTCTTATCAACACGAGGATTGTGAATGGGGAGAAATCTCCCTTTGAAGGCTCCAATCCCGCTGGGATGGCAGCAGGAGCTGCAGCGTTTGTTTGACTTGCTGTTTAATTCCAACTGCTGAGAGAAGCCAGAGCACGACTTTGGGAGCCTCTTTTCCTTCTGCTTCCTCTCAGCACAGGCACTGGGAAGTTCCTCACATCCAAAATCCCAAATCCTGCAGCAGCGCTGGGTGCTCCAGGTGAAAAATTCCTGGGAAATTTCATCCTTGTCCAAGCAAACCCTGCTCAGCACAACGGGATTTCCCTATAATGCAGCCTCTAAAACTCCCACTAAATCCTGCCAGCAGAACTGAAGTCCCAATTAAGCTTTAATAATACTTTTCTAATTTTAATCCGCGCCGGTTTTGCTGCTTATTAGGCTGAGGTGCTAAAGAGGAAGGGTTTTTGTAAAGGGAAAAAAATGAAATTATGAGAAAGCTCAGTGTGGAAACTGCAAGGCAGTGAAAAAGCCGTTATCACCAAATCTTTGCTTCCTGTAGTCATCAGATATCTGGGGTTTTATCAAACGGACACTCCACCCTTTTATTATCGTTCTGGCAGTCCAGATTTCATCTGTTAAAAAAGGCATTTTAAGAAAAACCTTTACACTGGATTTGGGTTGATCTACAGCGCCAAAATTGCCAAACTTCTCAGTAAGTTCTGCCCACAAATTTGTAATTTACTCAGAATTTTTCAGGGAAGAATTTCAATAACTTAAAGTATTTAATTCTTAATAAATGCTTCATTTAATTCCCATCTGCATATTACAAAACTGGATTTGTATTTAGGGTTTTGTTTCTGTCCTTATTATTTTTTTAATTGTAGAACTTGAATCTCTCCCTACAAACACAGCTGTGTGTCCAGCAAACAGTAACCCAAATGGAAAAATCGATATATTTCATATAAATTTTCACATTAATGATAGGATTTTTTGTGATTAAATTGGATTTTAAAGAAAAAAAAATGAAGATTTAAAGTTGAGTAAGAGAAAGGCTGGTGGAAGGAAAATTACAGATTCCATTTGGATGTAGCGTTTGGGGAACATTTGTTCAGAACAAGAAAACCAAGCAGAAATAAAGTGGTTTAACAAGCAAAAGCTGTTTCCTTACCAAAAGCTTTCTTGGGAAAGAACTGGGCTATTTAGCAATATTTTCAGCTGTCAGGGAGCTGCTCTTGGCCACATCACAGAGAAATGGAAAAGCTGCAATGTAGAGTCACCGAGTTCTCGTGGTTCATGAAATTAATAAATCTGGTGAGCACTCAGTAATTCCTTATCATCCTTCCCTGTCTAAATTCATCCAGAATCCAAATTGCACTAATTGAATCCAGCCCCAGGAGATAACCCTGGGGTTGCCCTGAGACTTGTTAACATTTCCAGAGTAATCAGAATTTTTTTTCTATTAAGTAAAGGCTTTTCCTTTTTGTTGTTTTCTTTTAAAATCCAACCCCTCTCCAAACCTCATCCCCAGTTGTGCCATGTACCTGCTCCACCTCGCAGGGTGGATGGAGAGGAAAATGAAATTTCATTTTAGTCACAGCATCTGTTGTTTTCCTAAAGGGTGGGGAGGCCTTGGCACGGATTGCCCAGAGAAAATTGTGGATTTCCCATCCCTGGAAGTGTCCAAGGCCAGCTTGGAGCAGCCTGGGATGGTGGAAGGTGTGGGGTGGAATTAAATAATATTTAAGGTCCTTTTTGTCTTGGTTTAGGGCAAATTTGGGAGAGAACCTTCAAATGGGGTTCCTAAACTTTTATTCTGGATTTTGGTCCTGCTTCCCACTGTGCACTGAGCTATCTCAGAGAAATTTGCAGCTTTTTTAAAACTTTTTTTTTCTGCTGAGGAGGAAAAAAACCAGAGCTGATTTCACTCCTGATTTCCTGCTGGAATGACAGCAAAGTCCTAAGATTCAAACAAACTTTATTTTCCAACGAAAAAGCCGGAGCACGGAGTCGCTCAGGACACAAATCCTGCTCTGTTTACACTTGATCTTCGCAGATTGCAAGTGGCAGTTGTTGATGGGCTCCAATAAATGCGGAGTCTGGGGGCCACTCTCTGCTGCGAGGCAGGAGCCGAGCAGAGCAGCCAGCCCAGCTCTCCCCGGTGTGCTGATGGATGAGAGCAGCGAGCAGCAATCGCTCCTCTTCCTTTTGGCACCGATCTCCAGCAGCGTTTATCCTCGCGGAAATCAACCCTGCGGCCAAGCCACTGAACAGCCCGGGCTCCCCAGCTCTTGGGTCGCCTCATTTCCATGGAGGTGCAGCAGAAAGACAAATGTTCCTGACCTCCCTGTCCTGTGCTGCTTTTGAGGTGGGAATATCCTGAGAAAAAAAATCAAAATCCTAAAAAAAACACAAAGCCACCCCCTCCTCCCTTGGAGGTTCTTGAAAGGAAACCAACACCTGTTGGAGTAGTTACTTCAATGTTTGGCCCAAATCCCAAACAAAGCTTTTTTCTTCCCCTTTTTTTGTTGTTTTTTTTTTTGTTTTTAACAACAAAAACATATGCAGGGACCAAGGAAAAAGCACAGCTAGTTCTGGTATTGTGCTTTTTGTGCTCTGAGTTGGAGGGGCTGTGACTCATTAAGTGATACCAGCACAGGGTTTCTCTAATTTCATGTCTTGCTTCAGGAATTGTGTGGCAAAATCTTGCACGAGAGAAGCGAAGGGGCCCTTCCTGCTCCTTCCATGGGATCTTTCCAAGCCATTTGTCAGGGAAAACTGGGAATATTTTATAAATCTTCTTCCTGAGAGAGATCTGTCTTTCTTCCACTTTGTGGATGGTGTCTTGCCCTAAGAGCTGAGGCTTTTGAGAGCACCCTGGCAAGGGCTGGACACGAGCTCGGAGCTGTTTTCCCACCTCAGTGATCCTGGGATTCTGTGCTCTCTGGAGAGGTTGGATCTCCACCAGTCATCTCCTAAATCAGGGATTACTTTGGTCCCTCAGCTCAACACAGAGATTTTAGCTGTCTGTGCAGTTGGAAATTGGTGGCTTCTGGGGGAAATTCTGTGAATAAAAGGTATTTGAGTTTTCTGTGAGTTGTTTGAATGTCGGGAAAATGCGTGAGCTGTCCTCAGGGTGAGTTATATTCAGGGACTATTTTAATAGAAAATTCCTCCCTGGGAGGGTGGGGAGACCCTGGAATGGAATTCCCAGAGCAGCTGGGCTGCCCCTGGACCCCTGGAGCAGCCTGGGATGGTGGGAGATCCCCATGGCAGGGGATGGATGAGATGATCCCTAAGGTCACTTCCAACCCAGATCATTCTGGAATTCTCTGATCCTCCATGGATACTTCCCAGAGTGTTGGCATGGAATAAACACGAGGCTGGGCCTTTATTCTGCATCCTGTCTGGGTGCTGGCAATGTGGTGTGAGCACTCTGAGCATCCCTGAACATCCCTGAGCATTCCTGAGCATTCCTGAACATTCCTGAACATCCCTGGCATCTCTGAGCATCCCTGAACACCCCTGTGCATTCCTGAACATCCCTGAACATCTCTGAGCATCCCTGTGCATTCCTGAGCATCCCTGTGCATTCCTGAACATTCCTGAACATCCCTGAGCATTCCTGAGCATTCCTGAACATTCCCTGAAATCCCTGGGCATCTCTGAGCATCCCTGAACATCCCTGTGCATTCCTGAACATTCCTGAACATCCCTGAGCATTCCTGAACATCCCTGAACACCCCTGAGCATCCCTGAACCCCCCTGAACATCCCTGAGCATCCCTGAGCATTCCTGAACATCCCTGTGCATCCCTGAGCATTCCTGAACATCCCTGAACACCCCTGAGCATCCCTGAAACGCACACAGCATTCCTGAACATCCCTGTGCATTCCTGAGCATCCCTGTGCATTCCTGAACATTCCTGAACATCCCTGAGCATTCCTGAACATCCCTGAACACCCCTGAGCATCCCTGAACACCCCTGAGCATTCCTGAACATCCCTGTGCATTCCTGAGCTAGAAATCCTGGCTCTGCCTTTTCCTTGGAAATCTCTCCCTGCCCTTTCTCACAAGAAACTTGTGGAGAAGGTTGGCCCTCCTTTGTAACCATTTCCGTTCTCAGTGATCACAGTGTCAAATTGTGCTGGTTAAAACAGTTGAAATTCTATTTTCCTCCTCCTTTCAGCTACAGCTGCAGAAAACCCAATATTTGCAACTGGGGCAGAGTCGTGGCCAGTACTACGGGGGGTCACTGCCAAATGTGAATCAGATTGGGAACAGTGCCATGGATCTCCCCTTCCAGGTGAGTTCTGAGGGTTTTTCCTTGGATTTGGTGATGAATTCTGTGCTTGGATGCTGCTGTGTCCTCCCAGGCAGCTGCTGGTCCCAAAATCAGCACCTAAAAACTTCGGGTGGGGTTGGGATTGTGGTAGATTTTAGTTCTTCTGTCTCTGTTTGTGAGGCTTTGGGGTCAGGAATACTCTGAGAGATGCAATTCCTAATGAAATCCGGGAATTCCAAATTGGGAGGAAATAAAGGTGATGTTGGGAGCTGAGGGGTGCAGGAATTGATGTGCATGTTCTGTGGGAGGAATTTTGGGAGAGGAGAAGAGCAGTGGGACACTAAGTGGTATCAGAATAATCACTTTGTTTTGGGCTGGCTGGAAAGGAAATGTCAGGATGTCCTGGCTGGGTTTTGTGACACTCCAGGGATGATGCACCTTAAACAGAAAATCAAGAGTTGCAGGTGAATATTTTGAATTGTTTTGAAGCATATTTGGACAGAGGATGTTGTCTAAGGACAGGATTAGCTGGTGGATCATTTGTGGACTTCTGAATTCCACATTTAGTTGATTTAGAGTGCTCAAAATAATGAACATTTCTGCATTGGTTTTCCTTATTTGAGCAGTCACAGTTAGAGCTGAGCTCACGAGGATGTGGTGGGAAGGAAATTTTGCAGTTTGTGGTTTTCTGATGAAGGCTGCTTAATAAAGATGGAGAAACTCTTGCTGACCTCCTCTAACTGCTTCTTGAAATAGGTGCAGACAGCTGAATTTGGGCAGGTTAAAAGCTTGAATCTTGTGCAAGAGGAGAGGCAAAAGTCTATTTTAATCTTGAATTCTTTGGGGAATACAGAGCAGAGGTTTGTAGTAGACTGAAGTCCTGTGTTACTCCACAATGTCTGCTCTGTTCAAGTTTTTCCCTTTAGCTTTTTGTTAAGGAGGTTAAGAATTCCTTTTTAACAATAATATTTCAGCGTTTCTGTGCTTGATGGCCATCACTGGTGGTTTTTACCTGGACTATTTTAATCTGGACTGCTGAAAAAGGAATACTCAAAAATTTATGAATGACTGGAGGAAGAGATGGAAACAAGCTATCCTTAAACCCTGGGGGTTTCTATATTTTTTCACACACACACGCACACAAAAAAAAAACAAACCACCCAAATTGATGTTATTCCAGATAACAAATGGTGACAAGCAACAAAACAACCCCATGTGTTTGTAGCAGTGGGGAAAAGCTTTCCAGGTTTTTCCAATTTTAAGCTCAAAGCATGACTGCAAACGACTCTGGGCCCGTGTGAAGGCAGAGCCTGGGTGGTTGTGCCTGCTGAGAGCGTTGGTGTCTGAGCATCTTCTGCTTCTTTGATTTGCAGCACAACGGAGCTCTGGCTGAAGCCTTTGGAGCAGTTCCTGTCTCTTTGGTAAACAAGTTTTTAGGTTTGTGCAAATACGTATTTAGGACTGGTCCCGTTTGCCCAGGTGGATACGTATTTCTGCACACCTGCTCTGCCGTGCACAGGATTTATTTGAGTCACCCCCAGCTCCACAGGACTGCAGGGCTGGCACACAAATCCAGGTTTTGCCGTGCATCCCAGTCTGGAACATGCAAATAATTCCTGTGCAGGCTCCCTGGACTTGCTGTCATGTGGTCATTTCTGAGTTTTTGGGGGTTTATTTGGTGCAGACAGTGGATTATTCAGTCTTGGCCTGTGGTTTCAGCAATCTCTGAGCATGTGCACTCAGCCTGCATGTTTAAATCCATGGGGAAGGGCAGAATGAATTCCCAAATCCTGCTTGGCACCAGGAGGCAGCAGAAAATCAACCAGCAGTAGGTACCACTCCTCCTTCCCCCTCATCCACCTCACCTGGGTTTATTTCCTGATAAATCCTAAAAGGACACTTGGAGAGCACCGAGCTTTTTCCTTCCTGTCTGTATTGAGCTGATTTTTAATGGTTTGGGGGTTTTGGGTCTGGTCTCAAACCCTTGAATGTTTTTCAGGGGAGTGAAGCCCGTTTAGTTCTTCATTTTCCCAAATAAAATCAATGCTCAGATCTATTATTTTTTTTTTAATCCATTTTTTCCCCTATAGTTAAATATCTCATGCCGTGCAGAGATGGGGAATTTTAATCCAGGAACACTGTCCTGGTGTTTAGCCCTAAATAAATTTTATAGGAAGGTTGCTGAGAGAAGCCAGCCCTGTTGGAGGTGTTACCCATTTCCTCAGGTGTTTTCTGTTTCCCTGAATTCAGGATTCTTTTGGGATCTTGGTTCCTGGAAAGCCAGGGAACAGCTCTGCCCCCAAATAAATCCCTCTTTCTATAAACTGTAGCCCTGAGCTGGGACACATTCCACATTTATTTGTGCCACTGCTGCACTCAAATGAGATTTTTATTGTGTTTTCAATAAGGAAATCATGCCAAAAAAAAGGTAAAAACCTAAGAAATAGCGGTTTTTACCTTGAACTTTTTGTCTTTATAGTTTTGTGCTTTGGCCTCCCGTTAAATTCCAGGTGAGCTCTGCAGTCCCTGTGCTCCAGGCTGGCTGCTCCTTTTTTAGCACCACTGTGCTGACACCACTGACATAGGAAATTGCTTTTCCTGTTGACCTTCCAAGCACGTATTTGCAAATTTTGCTGCCTTTTAGGCTGTAACAACAGAAAAAAAGGAGGAGTTTGAAACCTTTTGTTGCTTTGGAATGATGAATATTCCCACTTCTGTGTGGGGATTGTTGTTCAGTGTTTGCAGCAGAGATTAAAGCACCGTGTTTGAATTTAAAACCCTTAAAAATTGAGATTCTGTTTGAGATTTCTCAGCCAAGTGAGGAAGTGAAGCACAAACCCCATGATCTGAAGTGCTGAGAGTCCTGTAAAAAGTCACTGAGCTCCTTTCTAGTCCCCTGTTGCCTTAAATATTCTGCTGCATATAAAATGTTGGCCCTGAAATGAGAAAATAAACACCACAGCCCCTCTGCAGCTCTGTTAACACAGCCTGTGTGTGCAGAGAGGGTGAGGAGCCCAATATTTGCTGAAGAGAAAAGAGTTTAAAATAGTAGAAAGGCTCTTTAAAAAGTTCATACAAACAAAGCCTTTCAAAATAAATGCAAAGCTTTATAGAAATAATCTTTTCAACAGCCAAAGCTGACACTTGCAAAAAAAAAAAGAGAGAAAAAAAGGCTGAATGTGGAAGCCAGATGGTTTCATGGCTTGGCAGACAGGACAGTGCATTTGCCACGTGCAGCACCTGAATGGAGGAGGAAATTTTGGATTTCCAAACAGATGGTGTTGAGGGACTCAGCAAAGCTGTTCACATTGGCAGGGAGTGCAAGGCTGGGGAGGTTTTTTTTCTCCCTGGAGACCCATAAATTGCTGGTGGAGTATGAGCAGAGATTGACCCCTCGGTACTTCCTTTGTCCCTCCCCCAGGTATAGACTGGGAAGGGCTGTGGAAAATGTGAAAGTTTTCCAGTTTGGCCTGGGAATTCATCTTCCCTGTCCTTCCCCTGCCATCCTCCTGCTCTGAAATCATCTGCTCAGGAACCGCTCAGGATGTCAGTGCTGATAAGAGTCCAGGTGGGATCATCCCACCTCGGGTCCCTGAAGGAGCCGAAAATCACTTCAAAGCCATCAGACAGAGGAGGAAGGAAACTGCTTTTCTTTTTCTTTTCATTCTCTCAGTGTCCCCTTTAAATAAATCTGCTGCAAGGAGGGGTGAGAGGCCAGCCCTGAGAGCAGGCAGCGTGTCCTGGGGAATGCTGAGCTCAGCGTGCAGCTCCTCCCTGCATCTCCTGCCCTGGGATCAGGCTCTGGATGTCGGCATGTTCCTCCGGGATGCGCCCTGCATGCTGCACCAAGGGCATGTGGACAGCAGCTGGCAGCTCCTGTCGGCTTCAGGGGTGCCAGGGTGTGAGGGCAGTGCTGGGCCAGGCCAGGGCAGCTCCAGCATGGCCCCTTCTGCAGGAGGCAGCTTTCCCAAAAACCTGGCAGAGGAAAAACAAAATGACACAACGTCCACATCTCATTTTGAGTCTGATTCCTTCGAATGACCCAGCCTGGCACAGGAGGAGGAGGAGGCTCTGGGCAGGCTGGGGGTGTTTCCCTGTGGATAATCCCCGTGTCTCTCCCAGACCCCGTTCCAGTCGTCGGCGCTGGACACGAGCAGGACCACGCGGCACCACGGGCTGGTGGACAGAGTGTACCGGGACCGGAACCGCCTGGGCTCGCCCCACCGCCGCCCGCTCTCCGTGGACAAACACGGCCGGCAGATATCCTTGGCAGCAGGGCTGGGCCATCCCCTCCCTGCCTGTGGTGGGCACTTCCCTCCTCGCTTCCCAAGCCCTGACCTAATCCATAAATTCCTGCTGTAAAGCCAGAGTTGGCCTTTGCTCGGCTTTCCTGGGGATAATGATCCAGCTGTGGGATGCTTGGATGGACTGGGGACACAGGACAGAGGAGCCCTGGGAATTTGGTGGCCTTCTCTGATGGGGTGGTTGCCATCATCAGCAGGGCTGGTGTGAGGCATTTGGCTCTGTCCCTTCCTGTCTAAACTGGATTTGATGGATGGAGCAGTGGATCAGGAATTGGCTGGATGGATGGATGTGTCCAGAGGCTTGTGGTCAAGTGACAGGTGGCATCCTCATCTAAGGGTGACATGGACAGTGGGATTGGGTGCACTGTCACTGTCAGCTCTGGATCCTCTCATTCCCACCCAAACCACTCCAGATTCCCTGAAAGGTCAGGGCTGTCTTTGGGAAATGGGAGTTTCCCTTCAGAGCTGAGCAAACCCAACCCAGGATTCCCCTTTGCAGCTCCTCGTGCATTTCAGTGCAGGTTGATTCATCCTTTTGGCATTTGGGGATGGGAATGAGCTGAACATTTCTGACAGGTTTAAAATCAGCTGGGATTGATGGGGCTGGAGGGGATGTGTGACACGAGGCTGAAGGCACCAGGACTTAAATCCATGGAAAAGGAGGATTTTGACCGCTCAAACATTACAGCAATCCAGATAATAGTTTGGGTTGAGATCCTTTTACAATTCCCCCATAGAGAATCTGTGAGTTTAGTGGTTCTGACACGATAATTGGAATTATTCTTGGGAAAAGATTTGCTGCTGGAGTGGCAATTGTTGCTGCCTTAACCCTGGCTCACGTGGACAGCTGCCCCTATGGCACCGTGTACCTGTCGCCGCCGTCGGACACGAGCTGGAGAAGGTGGGTGCCACCATCCTGAGGGGTTTGGGTGTTCTCTGACACTGCAGCAGCCTGCAATTGTGCCTTTTGGAATTCACAAAGGCAGTTTTTAATTCAGCCCTGCTCGTTTTACATGAGCTTTAAAATGAAGATGTCTGCAAGCGATACCTTAATTTAATGGTACCTTTTTAAGGGTAAATCCTTAAAGTTTAATCTTTAAAAACCTTTTAAAAACTTGAAAAATCCAGAAGTTCTCAGGCACAGCCTGATATTTCTCTTGGATATTTCTTGGATATTGACTTGGATATTTCTCTGAGTGCAGAAGCTGGGCTGGGAATGTTTCAGTTGGAGGAACACAGAGTTACACTTTTTGAGAGTGGCCACACTCACAGAGTTCATCCTGAGTTGTGGTGGCCATGAAATTTCCCATCTCCATAACATCCTGAACCATTCCTTTTCCTCCTCCCAGCCAGGAATGTTTGGTTTTCAACCACCACAATAACCAAAGTATGGTTAAACAGCTTAAAAGTGGCATTATTTGATCAAAAATGGCATTATTTAATCTGAACAAAGCAGATAAAACTCTGTTCTAACAAGGGCAACCAATTTATCCTGTGTTCCTCTCAATCCCATTATTGAAACAATTGCTCTTCAAACTTGAACTAATTTGTTCTACAAATTGATTGTTTCACAAGGAAATTCTGCCTGCTTTCTGCCACACAGAGATTTTTGGGTTTTAATGCTCAATATTGAGGTTTTACCGAGTTGCTGCTTTTATCTGAGAGGAAAATTCTTTTATTTAGTGAAGCTGACAAGAAAAATGTTGTGGGTTTTGCTTTCTCTCAGGACAAATTCTGATTCTGCCTTGCACCAGAGCACCATGACTCCAGCTCAGCAGGAATCCTTTTCAGGAGGGTCGCAGGACATGCAGCAGAAAAGAGGTGAGCAGGAAAAAATAAAGGATGAAAAGGTTTATAACAATGGAATCCTCACAGATTGTGCACCAGGTGCTTGTAGAATTCAGGAGTGACACAACAGTCGGATCACATTCACCGTTCTGGGTGCTGAAATCCAAGGAAAATGACACAAAACAAAGGGAGAACGTTTTCCTGAGCCCCAAATTTTGTCATTTTTGCGCTGGGCAGGATCCTCTGGGCTGGTGGGACTTTGGGTGCTGAGTTCTCAGCACTCCCAGAGCTCTGGAGGAACTCCTGGAGCAGTGTGGAATTCCCAGAATTTCAGTCAGAGGCTTCACCCCGTGTTTATTGCGGGGATCCCCAGGGAACATCCCCTGCGAGGAGACAGATTCCAACCAATCCCAGAACAATTCCAGGCTGGAGCAGCCCCGGCACCTCAGTTCTGGTGCCCTCTGCTGGGCCCTGTGCCTGCTCCAGCTCGGGAAAATCGGGAATTGCTCATCCTGAAGGTCTTTGCCAGCCTTAAAATTCCCTGATCCTAAAGGAAAACTCCTAAATTTAATCCTTCAACAAACAGCCAGGGGTTATGAACACACAGCACAGCCCTTGGACACGTCTGTGCTGTCCTGCAGCTCTTCCATGTGCTCCTGGAGCTGGAGATCCTTGGGAAATGCTCATCCAAACCAGGATTCCATAAATCTGGATCTACACTCATGGGTGTGAGATGTTTTCATTGATTCACCTCTCTCTGGCTGGGCTTTTTGGTTTTTTGTTCCCCCTTGAACAGCAAAGAAACGTCCTTGGGATGTGGAGAATTAAATTCCAGCTTTGTGGTGTTTCTCCATGCCAGGGAGGAGGGATGGGATTTTCCCCACTGGAATTGTCCTCAGGGAAGCCCTTTGGATGTTCAAGGGTCTTCATCAATTGTGCAAATTGCAAAAGGTGGGGAAAAACCAGATGCCAAATAAACCCTTCATGGACATCTGGGCAAAATCAAGTGGAAGCCAGAACATTTTGTTTGGGTGTTTTTGGTTTGTTTTTTTTTTTAAATTCACACTGATTTAATAATTAATTAAATAACATTTCAATTAATTAAATTAATTAATTCAATTCATTCAATAACATTTCAGTTTGGTTTCAGGAATCTTTGGGGTTTTTTTTAAACCACAGAATTCATCCTCCTCAATAATTTAAACTCCATAAGATTTTCCCACAGGTTAAACTTCCAATCTGAGAATGTCTCAGTGGGAAGATGAATATTATTGATTATTAATGATTCCTTTTCATCTCCTTTTTTTTTTATAGTTTTATTGCTGACTGTCCCTGGAATGGAAGAAACCACCTCTGATGCAGACAAAACTCTCTCTAAGCAAGGCTGGGACACTAAAAAGGTGGGAATTGCACCTTTCAAGGCTCAGAAATTTTATTTTCTGAACATATTTAGATAAATGAATGCTTTAATCCCTGTCAATATTAATAAACTACCTGAGGAGACTGGAGATTAAATGTTGTGCTTAAAAACAAATAATAAACATTAGATCAGAAAGGATTTTATGTGTGTGAATGCACAGGCTTGGTTATATGTGGAGAAACTCTTGAAATCGAAGATTTGCTGGGCCAGTAAAGCAAAAAAATGATAAATACCTTCCAAGAGCACCCAAATCTTACACAGAAATGATTAAATTAAACTTTTTAATTGAAAAATACCCTCCAGCAGCATCTTTGCCTTGAAATCTCTCTCCCTTCTCTTTCAGACTGGGTCATCGAGACCTAAATCCTGTGAAGTTCCAGGAATCAAGTAAGTTCTCAGCAATTTTTGTATCTTAAGAGCACTGAGATCTTTAAGAAAAAATTGTGGATTGAATATCCTTGAGTGTCCTGTTGCTTTGGAATTTTCTGGGGAGTTTTTAGGTACAAAACAAGACCTTCTGAGGGTCAGAAATACAAAAAAATAAATCTTCTTTCTGGAATTTCTTCTTAAAAGCATCTCAAAAAGCACAAAAATACATTTTGTGTGGAATTCTTGGTTAAATGCATTTTTAAAAGCTCAAAAATACCTTCTTTATGAAATTTTCTTGTTAAATACATTTCAAAAAGGTAAAAAAGTCTTCTTAATGAAATTGGCTTGCTATAAACATTTTTAAAAGCTCAAAAAATCTTAATGAAATTTTCTTGTTAAATACACTTTTAAAAGCTCAAAAATACATTTTGTGTGGAATTCTTTGTTAAATACACTTTTAAAAGCTCAAAAATATCTTCATGCAAAATTCCTTGTTAAAAACACTTTAAAAAGCTAAAAAATATATTTTGTATCAAATTCCTTAATGAATTTTCTTAATAAACACATTTTTAAAAGCTAAAAAATATCTTCTTAGGGAATTCCTTGTTAAAAACGCTTTCAATAGCTCAAAAACGTCTTTTGTACAGAATTCCTTGCTAAATATATTTTCAAAAGCTCTGTCCAGGCTGAAATCTTAATGAATTTTGGGGTTTTTCTCCTCGATTTAGCATCTTCCCATCAGCTGACCAGGAGAACACTACAGCCCTGATTCCTGCCACGCACAACACGGGCGGCTCCCTGCCAGACCTGACCAACATCCACTTCCCATCCCCTCTGCCCACGCCTCTGGATCCCGAGGAATCCACATTCCCAGCCCTGAGCAGCTCCAACAGCACCGGGAACCTCGCTGCCAACCTGACCCACCTGGGCATCAGCACTGCCAGCCAGGGTGAGCCCAGCACCAGGGAGCTTGTGTGCCAAAAAATGGGAAATTTGGGTTAAATTACAGCACCTTTGTCTCCAAAAAATAAAAAATTTGTATTTAGTTACAGGAGCTTTTTCTCAAAAAAAAAAAAATGGGGAAGTTACATTTAGTTACAGCACCTTTTTCTCCAAAAAAATGGGGAATTTGTATTAAATTACAGGATCCCTGTCTGCAAAAAAATGAGGAATTTGGATTTAGTTACAGCACCTTTGTCTCCAAAAAATAAAAAATTTGTATTTAGTTACAGCACCTCTTCCTCCAACAGGAGCTTTTTCTCCAAAAAATGGGCAATTTGGATTTAGTTATAGCACCTTTTCCTCAAAAAAAATGGGGAATTTAGTTACAGGACCTCTGTCTCCAAACAATGGGGAATTTATATTTAATTACAGGACCTTTTTCTCCAAAAAATGGGGAATTTGTATTTAATTACAGCACCTTTTTCTCAAAAAAATGGGGAATTTATATTTAGTTACAGCACCTTTTTCTCCAAAAAATGGGGAATTTGTATTTAATTACAGCACCTTTTTCTCAAAAAAATGGGGAATTTATATTTAGTTACAGCACCTTTTTCTCCAAAAAATGAGGAATTTGTATTAAATTACAGGACCCCTGTCTCCAAAAATAGAAAATTTGTATTTAGTTACAGGAGCTCTGTCTCATGTTCTTGATGCTTTTTTTGGGGGATTTGTTTTGGGATCTTTTTTTATGTTTATTTTTTACTGTTTCTGTTTGTTTGTTTATTTATTTGTGAATGTTTTCCTCTTTCTCCTCTCTTGGAATTCCTCGTGCTGAACCCCAGCATCCCTTGTGTTATGGGAATATTTCCAGCAGCACTTTCATTTCCATTCCTTTAGAACAGATTTTTTTTTTTTTTTCATGTGAGGATCCTTTTGGAGTCTATTATTGATTAATATTTTAATTATTAATTGCTATTTTTAAAGTAATTTTGCTGATACTCAATTATGAAGAGAGTTAATTTTTTTAAAAAATTTATTATCAGTGACAGTTGCAAGTCTGTTGATTCCTAGAATAGAAATGACAAGTTGTATCCAAAAATACAAATATATTTCCTGTGCTGGGCAGGATTCCCTTTCCCACTTCTGCTGGGTTGGGAAAAGGAAATGACTGTAATCAGGTTGTGGCTGAGCAGGTGAGTTTGGGAAGCAAAAAAAGGATTTAACCATTTAAAGGATCTCAGGATGGAGTGGGGCAGCGCTTTCTGCATCCTTGGAAGAGTTTTTTGGTCTCCAGAGTTTCAGGGATGGGTTTAGAAATTAGGATTTAAGCCACCCCACATTTTTTTTCAGTAATCAGCAAAGTAAATGATACAGATCCAACCTAGTGGGTCTGAAACTGCTTTGAAAACATTCCCTGATCTACCAAAGACAGAACAAATTCAAGATTTACTCCCTGATTTTATTCCAGCTTCTCTCTGGAGACAACCCCACACTTTATCCATTGCCCCACTCAGCCTTTGGTGCTTTTCAAACCAATTTTCCCAAACCTTCCTCACTGCTCAAAGGCCCCAGTCAGCCTTTGGTGCTTTTCAAACCAATTTTCCCAAACCTTCCTCGCCGCTCAAACCTCCCTGAGTGCTCCTGGTCCTGCTGAGGAACATCCCAGCGCCCGGGGAGGGGAGCTGGGCAGGGCAGCAGTGCCAGGGAGCCTGCCTGGCCTGAGCCCCTTGTCCTGCTGCCTCCTTGGCAGCCTGGCCTTCCTGGCTCCCTGGCAGCTTGCCCACAAGCCCTGAGCCTCTGCCAGGAGCCAAGAGCTCCGGGCTCCTGCCAATTGCTGCTCTCTGGCAGCTCCGGGCAACAGCTCGCGCTGGCTCGGCCTCACATCCCTTCCCAGGGTGACTGGGTTCCTCTGGGGTGAAGCAGGAAAGAGGGGAGGTTGTGAACTCCCAGATTTTTGGCTTGATCTGAACTAAATGATAATATTTGGGTTGTTTGTGCTCGCCTCCCTGCTGGGTCGTGGCTCTTGGGAGTGTGGTGGACATTTCCTGCCCCGGTGTGCCATTAAAAATGGGGCTCTTCCTGCGTAACCGGTTCTGCTTTTTCCATTTAAGAGGTGTTTGCTTTTACAGTCCCTCCAGTGCCCTGTGATAAGCCTGGTTCCAGGACCTGTTATCTCATTCCCGGAGCGTGAGCCCAGACAAACAGAGCAGAACCTGCTTTTCCTGGGCTCGGCGAGTGCAGGTGTGCGAGCACGCTGCCTGTGGCGTCCGCAGCTGCTGAGGCTGCTCTGCCTCTTCCAACTCCTCCTCCTGGCCACCAACCTGGCCAAGCGAGCCTGGCCTTGAGCCAGGACAACCCACAGGGCTCTTCCTCTCATCCTGATGCTCTTCAACCTGACAAAATTAATTACAAATCACCTAACGAGCTCCTGCCCCATCGGCCGAGGCTCATCCGGTGCTGTCCGCTCGGGCCGCTCTTTCTTCCCCGGTTTAGGGAATTATTTTGGGTACAAATGTCACAAATTTGTCACATAAATGTCACAAATCTTGCTGTGTCCCTGCTGAGGGTGGTTTGTTATTCGCAGCAGGGATGACGACGACGCCGGCCCCATCCCAGCACCGCCAGCCCAGTGTCAGCCCCCTGTCCTTGGGAGCGGACTCGCGGCGACCTCAGTCCCAGCAAATGTCCCCCACGCTGTCCCCGCTCTCACCCATCACTCAGGTAGGAATTCCAGGGGGAATTCCCAGTTTTCTAATCACAGCTTCATTGTTTGAATCGGCTTAGGCTGGAAGTTTGGCTCAAAGAGCCGCAGGGATATTGGGAAGTTCCTCCCTGGGAGGGTGGGGATTGAATTCCCAGAGCAGCTGTGGCTTCCCCGTCCCTGGAAGTGTCCAAGGCCAGGTTGGACTGGACTGGGATAGTAAAAAGTGTCCCTGTCCATGGGACAAGATGAGCTTTGGGGTCCTTTCCAACCCAAACCATTCCATGATTCCATGAATTTCATCTCTTGTTCTGTAATTTCCTCCTTTAAAGGTGTTCCTTAATTCAGAGACTTCAAACAGGAGAGGTTTGTAGAGGAGGCAGATTTTACTTTCTCCTTTCTAGAACTGTGATAAAAACCATCTCTTAGACCACATATTTTTTTATGTTGTCCCAAAAGGAGCTGTGAAATTTGAAAACCATTACTCTAATTTGTGAGAGAAGCTCAATTAACTTTTTAAATTGATTTTATTGTGGCTCTGTGACTGCCCAGGTTGGTGATTTCTGACCTTGAGATTCAACTGGGCTTTCAAAGTATTGGTTTATACAGGATGGTTTGGGTTGGAGGGAACCTTAAACCTCATCCAACCCACCCCTGCCAGGGGCAGGAACATCTCAGAGCAGCTTCTTGACTCTGTGAGCCTTCAGGTGTGGTTTTTACAACACAAACCCCATTTTCTCAGTGTGATTGGTGAGGAATCCCCTGCCAGCGTGGCTGATCCCTCTCCTTCTCCTGCAGGCCGTGGCTATGGATGCATTGTCCCTGGAGCAGCAGCTCCCCCCGTACCCCTTTTTCACCCAGACCAGCTCCCAGCAGCAGCAGCAGGCGCCGGTGGCCAGCTCCCTGCCCCAGACCCCCCCTCTGCTGCAGAGCTCGGGGCTGCAGAGGGGCCCCCAGCTGCCCCCTCTGTCCGTCACGGTACCTTCCACCATCCCCCAGTCACCTCCAGGGAGCCAGAGCCAGCCCTCCATGGGAATAGACATCAACTCGGTGAGTTTGGGAAGGGATTTCCTCGGGAAAAGCTGGGAATGCGCGGGCTGGGCTGGGAAATGGGCTCGGACATCCCCGCCATCACGAGAACCTGTAGGGAGGCTGAAGTGAACTTAAAAATAGTTTTGGTTGAATGCACCTTTAATTGTTTTCTAGCGGAAAAATCTGTGTTAAGTTTTGTTCCAGCTTAAATCTATCAGCATTTACTGGGAGATTCTCAGGGGGCTCAGATTCCCCTCAGCACATCATGATACAGACTGGGGGAACTCCCAGAGCCTTGAGGGAGAGTCCAACTACAACAACCATTTTCCAATAAAATCTGGGAAATTTATTTTCCAAAAGTTGTCGAGAGCCAGGTATTTTCTGCAGTTTCACTACTTAGAACCCTTTAGAGCATGCATTCCAAAATGGGATTTGTGGCTGCCTCCAGTGGCCAGAAGAATTGGAGCAAGGATTTATGGACAGATCCCTTTTCCTGCTTGTTTTAACGTGGCCTGTTAGGAAATGTTGTGTCTCAGCAGCTGAAAATCCCAAATCAGCAGTCACAGGCCAGGAAAGAAGGGAAGTCCCAGCTCCCCCTGGCCCTGGAGGGTCCTGGGTGTCCCACCCGTGGTGTCCTGGCAGTGCTGTAGTGAGTGGCAGGAACGGCTTTGGCAACGAGAACAAATCAATTCTATCCATCTACTCTCGCTTGTGGATGAAATTTTTAACAATTGGTGTTCCTTGAGAGCACCTGCTTCCTTTCCAGGATGGGAAGGGGAAAAGGGAAGGACAATCCAGCAGTGGAAAGAATCCCACCCCCCTCAAAATGTGTCCCTGTTTTGATTCTAATCCTCATGTAGCACCAGTACAGACAATTCTGATCTCATCCTTTGCTTTCTGTGTTGCTTTCCTCATCCTAAACCTCTTTATGACCTGAACTTTTAGGCTGCTGTGCTTATCTTCTAAAGCAACTCAAGTAATTCCTAAATAAACAGGTTTAAAGCCACTTTATCAAAAAGCCTTTGGAGCTGTCACAGCCTCGCTGGCAACTTCTACACAGGTTTTGTAAAGCAGAATTGAAATTTATTTATAGTTTGGGTGGCTGCTGACAGGTTGTAAGTGGCAATGCAGAGCAAAAAGGGAAATTTTCTTGGGATTTACAGAACTTGGGGTCCAAAATTGCTGCAAATCTGATTAAATTCACTGGATTGCAGGTTCTCCTCAATCATCCCTTAATTTTTAATGGAAGTAAAATAAGAAGAGCTGGGCTACTCGTTATGTTAATTAGTGCAGCATTATTTAAATACCATTAATATTATTAATTTGTTCCAAACCAGGGTTCTTTATGATGGAAAAAAAAAAAAAAATTAAATCTTTGAAAATAACTTTTCAAGACACCTGGGAAAAGTATAAAAATCCCAGCTACAAGCCTGCAGAAGGCAGTGTGAATTCCCTGAGGGTGCAGTGGAGTTTGGGGCTGTGTGGGGACAGGTTTGGAGCCCAGGTTTATCCTTCAGGTGTCGTCACCTGAGCTGTGCTGATACCACAGCTGGAGGCAGAGCAGGACCCCAGCGAGCACAGATGTGGGGCTGGCACTGCAACTGAAGCCTGAATGACATTCTTTTTGAATTATTCCCAGCTTCCAAGACTTCTTTGCCCTAAATCCTTGGCTGACCTGATTTTTTTTTTTTTTTTAATATATTTTGAACCGAGCATAAGTGAGAACAGGCAGGAAATGCTCCCAGCTGTGCCTGTCCCTGCCCTGGGGCTCCCTGTTTGGGGACCTCATTCACATAATCCTGTCTTCCCACAGAGAAACTGAAGAGGATGGTTTCTCCCAGCTCCATCACTCCAGAAATGTGTATTTTGCAAGGCTCCCTCAATGGCACGGTGTTTAATTCTGTGTTGTTCTGTAGGCCTCACTCCAGCAGTACCGCAGTAATGCTGGCTCCCCAGCCAACCAGTCTCCCACCTCTCCTGTCTCCAATCAAGGCTTCTCTCCTGGCAGCTCCCCTCAAGTAAGGGACTCTGTGCTTCCACAGGCCTTGCTTCTCGTGTGTGTTTCGAGCTGGATTTCTCCATCACTGCCCCATAGCTGTCTCACTGTGACTCCCGTGTGTGCCTCATGCGTCACCGACGTCCCATCTCGGCCGCCCTCCATCCCCGCTCCCACAGGGTGCCAGGAGCTGCTGAATTGCCTTTTTTAGTGAGCAGAGAATCGCAGGGTCAGGCTGCTGGTTGGACACTGGGCTGGTGTTTGTTTGGGGGGCAGAACCTTTCGATTGCCAGGATCCCAGGGGAGCTGATGGGTGTGAGGTTGGGAGGGCAAGAAAAGGGGAATTTTCAGTGCCTCCTGCAGCAGGGAAACTCCTGGAGCACTAAAAAAAAATTACACTAAACATCCCAAACTGATTAGATCAGGACCTTTTTTATGTGAGAACATACCCAGTGAGAGAAAACACCGGAGAAAATGCTCTTAAAATGAGCAGCTTGTGGCTGGCAGGGAATGGGATCCCAGCACACTCCCTTGCATGCCAGCTGCTTTTCCTTGCTCTGCCTGTATCTCCTCACACATCCACATGTCCTGGATGGAAATCACAACTTGGGAGAGTGTGTGATCCTCTGAAGGGGGATTTCTTCCTGCCAGCAGCAAGAGATTAAAAACAGGCAAAATTGGAGGGTGCCCCAATGTTCGACAGTGCATTTTCAGTGCCTGATGCTGCTGAAAGAGCCTCAGCTGGCTGCTCTGGAGAATCCCACCTGGAGAAAAGAAATGCAGGGAATTCTTCCAGAGCATCACAAGAGTCTGAAAATCCATTTTCTGTTTCATCACTGAACGTTGAAGGCTGTAAGGAGGATCCTTTCTAAATAAGTGCTGCCCCTTCATGGTTGCCTGGCAGAAGCTGCAGGTCTCCTTCATTAGCCAGGTCATGGTAAGCTCAGCCCTGGATCCGAGTGGCAGGAATTGTCTGCGTTTCCTTAACCCTGGCTTAATTGCTTCTTAACCTCTCTCTCTCCTGCCTGCTCCTGTGAGTTCTGCTGTGCTCTGTGTGCCTCCAAAAACCAGCACTGTCCCCTAGAGCAGAGCATGCTGCAAACTCTCAGCTCTCACTGGGCAGCACGTCCAGTTCTGGGGTTGATGTTGATTTTTTTCCCTTTGATTTCTCAGTCACTCTGGCTTGGTTTTGTCCCCACTGGTCAGTCCCAAGGGGCAGAGCACACACTGGGATGTGATTTTTCCTGATGGCTTTATCCTGTAAAAACTTCCTCAGGTTTTGCCCTGTTTGACAGGGACAACACAACTCTTGAGTGGAAAGCAGAGGATTTATTGATTCTGTTCTCTGTAGTTTGGACCCCTTAAATACCCACAGAATTCCTTAGTTTTACAGAATTCCTTAGTTTTAATAAATTAAAACTGTGGTGGATTCGGTGCCTCCACCAAAAGCTGGTGGTGGTCACGAACATGAAACAAGGGGGGGAAAAAAACCAGTTTGGAGGGGAAATTGGGGTTGGTTGTGAAGATGGGTCAGCTCCAGGCAGCAGAATCCCTTAATCTGCCCAGAGTGAGGGCAGATCCCTTCCAAGAGCAGAATATTCCGTTGTGGAGCAGCCTGGCACTGGTGAGTGTGTGCAGTGACCGGGCAGCTGCCTCCACGTGCTCCTCTTCCTCCCGCGGATTTGAGTTTTCATCCTCAAGAGTGCCAAAGGACATTCCCTAAACCACAAACCCAGGCTTTGATTTGTGTCCCACATCCACCACAGGTTCTTCTCCATGCTCCCACTTGTCCCAGCCCCTCTGCTCCCGTGTCCCAGCCGTGTGTGTGTGTGTGTGTGTGTGTCCCACCAGGTGTCCCAGTCCCCGCAGCGATGGGAGAGCTCTGCCTGCCCCCACAGCTCTGTGTTTGCATGGCTTCCACCACGGTGCTGCCCTGCTCTCACCCCTCATTCCCGTTCCAGTCACACACAAACATCCCTGCTCTAGTGCCTCTGACCTGGAGAACCTGGTAGGTATTTTTAGATGGATCATCCCAGACAGGGATTGGTGCTTTGGGGCTGCTTTTTCCTCACAGTCGCTCCGTGAACCCCACAAGATGCTCTGCTGACTCTTCAGCGGTTCTGGAGATGGTGTTTGCACAATGTTGTTCCTGGGGTTGTTGATAAATTATTCTAAGGCTCTGAAGTGTCGAAGGAATGACATTTCCAGTGGGAATTTTGGGTTTCCTTGGGGGAATTTTCATGCTTGCAGCTGTAGGAACCAGCACACTTCACAGGAGGGGCAAACCCAGGCTGGCTTGGGGTAGGAAGCTCTGACCTGGACTTGCACGATCACATTCTGCTCTCCTGTTGATTGTTTCTCATGTTCCACGAAGTTTTTTGGGATGGGAACAGTGCTTGGTGAAACATAAAGATTTTAGGGATTGTCCTCATTTTGGGAATTGTCCTTCAATTCCCAATCTGTGGAATGAAACCACAGGAATTAAAAGGTACAAAATACCTTGATCCTCTTCGGAGCCCTCAAGCAGCCATTGGATTTTAGTGCTGCTTCCTGTCAAGCCTGTGCCATCCCAAAATTCAGATTTTCCTTGGAAATGGTTATAAACCATCAGTTGGACTGGATTTAAAAAAACCCAAATTTTTCTTTAAATTGCTTTAAGTGGTGCTTTGCTTTTCTCTTACCAGTACCCTATCAGTGGCTCTTATGGTGTTTGATCCCTTGTGGTGTTCGATCCCTTTTTCCCGGGATCCAGCAGCCCCCGGAGTGTTTATGACCAGGTGATAAATTGGAAAAGAGGCTCCAGTTCCAGCCCTTTCCCAGTTTTGGCTGCACCTGGAGCAGGGATTGTTGGGTGGTCTGGCTGTGACGTGAATCCCAAATCTCCAAATCTCCAAGTGCATCCAGACCATCCCGGCTCAGAGCAGTTCTGGGATCAAACAGGATTTTGGAGAGTTCCAGCCACGGAGTCTGGGCTTGGGAATTCCCCCCTGGATCCACGTTTATCCCAAACCATCCCCATCAAGTGACAGCCCAGGGATCTGGCTGGAACTGGGGAGGTTTTTAAGGAATATCTTGGTGCTTTTCCCTCATGGAAGGGGCAATTTAGGTGTTTTTTTGAATTATTTTTTAATGCAAGCTGTTTTTTTTGAGGATTTAAAATCCATGCCTGTTCAGACTCTTCCTAAGCTTTTCCTGAATTTCCCATGCTTAGGTTTTTAAGGAGGAAATTTGTAACCTTCTGCTTTTGCCAACTGAATTTTGTTTTCCACAATTGAGACAACCCCTCCATGGAAATTTTATTTTATAGATGTTCTCTTTGTCAGTTAATGTTTGGGGCTTTTTTCAGCTGGGAATATCAGGATTTGGGAATTTTAAATCAGGAGTGAAGTTGCTGATTTTTATCTGGAATTTTTTATCAGGATTAAAACACGGACCTCAAATTCTTTGTCACCTTTAGAATAATTGACAAATGATGGAGAATTACTGAGGGAGTGGACAGTGATTAGGAAAGCTGAGGAATTCCTCCTGGAATTCTTCACTGAGGTTCCCCCTGACCTTTCCTGCTCTGCAGCTCCCATGGAATGCCTTAAAAAGCAGGAATTTTGTCCCTGGGGGCTGCAGATGCAGAGCCAGAACAGCTCCTCCCGCCTCAGTGTGGGGCTCCTTCCCCCCAAAACCCCAAAACAAGCAGGGATCGCACTTCTCGTGTCCCTAAATCCCGGATTTCCGTCTTGTTCCTGCTCTGGGAGAGGCCTGTGGGATTCTGTGGTGCCCCTGTGGATCCTGTGGGATCTTCACGGTCCAGAGGGATTCCCTCTGGGATCCTCTGGGTCTGGAGGAATTCCTGCCTGCTCCTTTTGGATCTCTTGGGCCCTGTGGGATCCTGTGGGATCCCCTGGGCCCTGTGGGATCCCTTGGGCCCTGTGGGATTCCCTCCTGCTCCCTGTGGGATCCTGTGGATCCTGAAGGATCCCTTGGGCCCTGTGGGATCCCCTGGGCCCTGTGGGATCTCTTGGGCCCTGTGGGATTCCCTCCTGCTCCCTTTGGGATCCTGTGGATCCTGAGGGATCCCCCGGGCCCTCAGAGGACTCGTGAGGGCCCGTGAGGGCCCCGTGCGATTCCCGCCCGCTCCGTGCCGATTTCTCCGGAATTCCCGGATTTCTCCGGAATTCCCGGATTTCTCTGGAATTCCCGGTGCCGGGAGAGCCGTGGGAGGAGTTGGGGATTTTGCACCATAAAGCCTCTGTTTTGTTTTCAGCATTCTTCCATGCTGGGCAGTGTTTTTGGGGACTCCTATTATGAGCAGCAGATGACAGCTAGGCAGGCTAATGCCCTCTCCCACCAGGTGAGCAAATTCATCTCGGGCCTGCCTCGGCCTCTCCCACATCAAATTAATTCCAATTAATTCCTGATTAATTTTCTGTCCCGTCCCCGTTTTGTCCATGTAGAGTTTTCCTTTTTTTTTTGGTATTTTTTTGGGTTTTTTTTTGTTTGTGTTACTCAGCAGTTTCTTGTTTTGTTTAGTTTTCCCCTCCCCTCTCACTCTTTGTCCTCCCCTCATCCCAAGCAGGTTTGCGGCCAAAAAATTGGGAGATGGATTTAAAAGATAAATAAAATAAAATAATACAATAAAGTATAACTAAATAATAATAATAAAATCAATAAAATCAATACAATAAAATCACAAAGCTTATAAAAATTCCAGTAATGCCAGGCAGCTTTGGAAAGGGGAAGTAGTGAAAAGGAAATGTTAAAGCAGTGAAAATCAGCTCGAAAAAAGGGAAAATAAGGAAGTTTTGGAGAGGAAAAATAGTGAGAATTTTAAAATGGAAGTCAGCTCTAAAAGGGAAAAATAATGGAAAGGAGTTTTTAAAATAATGGAAGACTTTAAAAATAATGAAATTTTTTAAATAATGGAAAACTAGAAAAAAGGAAAAAAATGACATTTGAAAGAGGAAAAATACTGAAAAATCCTTGAGTAATGCAAAAGCATTTTTAAAAGGAAAAATAATGAAAATATATTTTAAAATAATGAGAATCAGCTTTAAAAAATGAAAATGAAAAAAGAAAATTTTAAATAATGTTTTTTAAAAATGAAAATTTTATCAAGGAAAATTTTGAAATTAAATTTTAAAATGTGAACCAAAATTTTTAAAATAATAAAAATAATTCTGACAAAATGTAAGATACCCATAATTTTAAAGATGAAACATCATGGAAATACATTGAAAAATTAAAATAAATAAATAAATAAGTAAAAGAATTAAAATAATTAAATGTTTCAATTAAATAGTTGAAATAATTAAATATTTCCACATTTCTGGCTGGAGAAATTTGGATTGTAATCCTTCCAGTTGCAATTGAGAAAGATTCCCTTGTAGGTGGTGACAGGAATTTGGGAATAATCCATGGCTGGTTTTATTTGGGAATAATTGGAGCCTCCCTTGGTTTGGCCAACCAGGGCATGGATTAATTAAATTATGGAATGCTTAAAGCTGGGATGTGTCTTGGAGGGAATTCTGATGGGCAGAGACCTCAGGGCGAGCCTGAATTCCCTTTATTTTCCTTTAAAACCTCCCTTTTCTTTTGTTCTCCCAATCCCCTCTCCCCAGTTTGGTTTGTGCCTCCCTCTTCCGAATTGGGCAGGGAATCTCCCCGGCAGCTCAGGGCCCAGAGCCCCTTTTTGAGCGAGGAAAGATGAATTTGTTTGCCTGTCTCTTGTCCTGTCCTGGAGCCGTGTCCTTGTCCCCGCTGTCGCTGCCGAGGGTTGGGAATTAACGCTGTCCTCGGTGTCCCTGCAGCTGGAGCAGTTCAACATGATCGAGAACGCCATCAGCTCCAACAGCCTCTACAGCCCCTGCTCCACCCTCAACTACTCGCAGGCTGCCATGATGGGACTGACGGGCAGCCACGGCAGCCTGCCGGACACGCAGCAGCTCAACTACTCCAGCCACGGCAACATCCCCAACATCATCCTGACAGGTGAGTGCGCCTCGCTCGGGGCTGAGCCAGGGCCCCTCACGGGGATACGGGCTGGGAAAGGACTGGGGGGACTGGGGGGACTCTGTGGTTCTGCATCTGAGGCTGATCCAGGGTCCCTCACAGGGATACAGGCTGGGAAAGGACTGGGGGGACTCTGTGGTTCTGCATCTGAGGCTGATCCAGGGTCCCTCATGGGGATACAGGCTGGGAAAGGACTGAGGGGTCTCTGTGGTTCTGCATTTGAAGGTGTTGGAGTGTCCCAAACTGGGATACAGGGTGGGAAAGGACTGAGAACACTCTGTGGTTCTGCAGCTGAGGCTGCTCCAGGGTCCCACACAGGGATACGGGCTGGGAAAGGTCTGAGGAGACTGAGGAGACTCTGTGGTTCTGTACCTGAAGGTGCTGGAGTGTCCAAAGTTGGGATACAGGGTGGAAAAAGGTCTGAGAGGACTCCATGATTGTGCATTTGAAGGTGCTGGATGTCCAAAGTTGGGATACAGGGTGGGGAAAGGTCTGAGGAGCAGCTGAGGGCAGTGCAGAGGAGACTGAGGGGACTGGGTGGGTTCTGCAGCTCCAGTCTCTGCTCTGGGAGCAGGGACAGCAGCCAGGGAATGGCTGTGCCAGGGACTTGGCATGGAGATCAGGGAATTGTGCCCCTCAGAGAACACTGCCCAGGCTCCTCAGGGCATGGTCCCGGCCCCAGCCCTGCCAGAGCTCCAGGAGTGTTGGGACAACACTCTGGGACAGGCTGGGATTTTGGGGTGTCTGTGCAGGGCCAGGAGCTGCATCCACGATCCTCCTGATCCTCCCAGCTCAGGACATTCCACAATTCCATGGTCCCTGCTTGGGGTTTCTCTTGGGGATTGTTGAGGGCTTTGTTCCACCTGGGCTGCGTGTCCCAGTGCTCACCTGATCCCGGCACACAGGTGGAGCACCAGTTTTCCTATGGATTTATCCTGCCCCTGAATTCCCTGGATCCTCTGCTGCAGTGAGGAAAAGCTGTGGGAGCCAAACTCCTTCCTCTGCTCAGCCCAAGCTGGCCAGCAAAGGCTTGGAGTGTCACATATGGTGGCCAATCTGGTCACAGTGGGGCTTTGGAAACAATCCTTGCCCAGGGATGCTGTGGCTGCAGCCAGGAATGGTGGAAATCGAGGTTATTCCTCCTCAAGCTGAGAGAAAAGACTCGACTTACACCCAACACGAATTTGGGGCTGTGCGTGGTGGTTTGGAGACGCTGTGAGGAATCCGAAATCTGAAGGAGGGTGGATGTTCCTCATCTGAGAGCTCCATAAACGTTGCCAGGGATTTTGGGAGCTGTTTTCCTGCGTGTTTGACCCCCGTGTGTTCTGTTCCCTGCAGTGACAGGAGAATCCCCCCCCAGCTTATCAAAAGAACTGACCAGCTCCTTGGCAGGAGTGGGGGACGTCAGCTTCGACACGGATTCCCAGTTCCCTCTGGATGAACTCAAAATTGACCCTTTGACCTTGGATGGACTGCACATGCTCAACGACCCCGACATGGTCCTCACCGACCCCGCCACAGAGGACACGTTCCGGATGGACCGGCTGTGATCCGCCGGGATCTCCCGCGGGATCCATCCCGGAGGGTCCATCCCAGAGGGTCCATCCCGTCCCGGAGGATCCGTCCCGTCCCGGAGGATCCGTCCCGGAGGGAGCAGCTGCTCCGTGTCCCCCTGTACAATGAGTAACCACAGCTTGTTGTTCTGAGCTTGCCGCGCTGCCGAGCCCCCGTCCCCGTGGCGCCCAGCGATGTCACCCCCGAGCCGCTCGTTGCCGTCCAGCAGTAAGGAGTTGTCCGGTTTTTCCCGGTTTTCCATCGGCCTTTTCCTCTGCAGAGCCCCCCTTTCCCCCAGCAAAGCTCGGCGGGGCCCTGCCCGTGTCCCTGCACTAGAGAAGGGCTGCGGGATGAGGAGGGAAGGGCAGGAGATGCCGGCAAACACCGAAATCCGGCGCCGGAGGGGCCCAGCCCCCTCCTCTCTCCCGGATTGGGAAGTGAATCCCTGCATTGCCACCTTTCCCTGGAATTGTGACTCTGCTTTGTGACACTGTCATCCCTCCAGGTGCCGTGCTTGTCCCCAGGTGTGTCCCCAACCTCTTGTCCCTCCCTTCTGCCCCAGCCATCCCGGCAAAGCGGAGCCGCCGCCGGCCACCAATCCCAAAAATCCACTTTAAACACTATTTTTTTCCAAGCTTTTTATGTTTTGGGTTTTTTTTGTTTTGCTTTGTTTTGTTTGTTTTTTTAAAATATATATGTAATATATATCTATTTCTATATATGGCTACATATATAGAGAGCATTTCTGAGCACACATGAAAGTTCTATAATTCATTACTTGATTAGACAGAGGATCAGAACATCTTAAAGCAGCTAAAAAAAAAGTAGAGACTAACCTGCATAATCCTAATTTTTACTTTGTGAGAGATTCCTGGGCAACAGGAAGGGCATTTCCATAGCAATGCCAGGCTAGTAGAATCATGATTTTTTAAATTTTTATTCTTATTCATTACTTATTCTGTTACTTATTTATGATTTCATTTTTGGTTATTGTCGTTGTAATTTCTTTTTTTTTTTTTTTATTTAAATATTTGGATATTAGGAAAGTAGCTCAACTACATACAGCCAATGGAAGCACTCTACATAATATTTGTACAGTACATTTTTTTTGTGGTTTTACTCCAGAAATATATTATATATATTATATATGTAGGTATTTTTAAACTAACTGGAATTTTAAACAGATGTTAAGCAGGAATAAGGAAGCCTAAGGCAAGTTTAGATATTTTCCTTTGGAATAGGCAAAATAGGGTGGTTGGAACTTAAAAATTCCTTCATTCACCCGGGGGAAAAAAAAATCTCTTGCTCCAGAATGAGCAGGATCAAATCCTCCAAAATTCTGTTTAATTAAATGGAGAATTGATTATTTCTGCTGGTCCTTGTGCATGATCTGTGCTGCAAATTAAAAAAATTCCCATCCAGATTGCCCAGGCTGGGAATTGGGGGTTTCACTCCGGCGGGATCGATGGCGATTCCCAGATTTCTGGGAATGGATGGATTTAAAGGGCACTGCTGGAACATCCTCATTCCCCTGGGATCTGCACGGGGACAGCATCTCCCAGCACAGGAAAGGCAGGAATTAATCAGGAATTAACAGCATTTGGAATCTTATTAACTAATTAACAGTGCAACCCCTGAGGGCGAGCAGCCACATGGATCCCATTCCCTAAAATCCCATCGGTTCCCAGTTCCCAGCAGGAATTCAGCCCTTCCCAGCCTCCTGCACCAGCTGGATTTGGAAACCCAGCACTCCCAATCCCAAAACTTCTCCTGTGCCGGGAGTTCCCCCACAATTAATGAGGCCCCCCCCTGCAATTAACGCCTTCTCACTGCTCTCCTAATGAGTTATACCAAGTTTCTGTGTGCTTCCAGAAATCCCGGGCTGCCGTGCTGAGGTTCCTGCAGGGTCGGGATCTCCCCGATCCCGGGGCGTCCCCTCACCTTTCCGTGCCATTTGTTGACCATTTGCACTAAAAATGTGGAATTTCTTTTTTTTTTTCTTGGTGTTTCCCTGTGTCTTTTTAATTTTTATTTCATTTTTTTATTTTAATTTGATCCTTCTCCACGCCCTTCAGAGGTTTCCCCGCATCTCTTGGGAATGTTTTGGGATTTATTTTTTTTGGCAGGGTAGGACACGTTCCTTCCTGGTGGCTGCTTGTTTCAGATCCCTCACGCTATTTCAGTTTAAGGAGGAGATAAAAGCTCAAACTGGAGGAAACCTGGCAAAAAAACCAGGAGGAATTTGGGCCCAGGTGACTCGGAGCCCTTTGCTGAAGGTCCAGGGTGAGCCTGAAACTCTTCTCGTGTGGGAATTCCGTGTTTGTCTCCCTCTGGAATGGCTCCCGTGGATGTGGCAGTGCCTGTCGGTCACTCCGGGGCTGGCATTCCTCACGGGAGCCTCCTGCCCGCGTTTTTAACTCCGTGTGTAAATAAGAGCTCTTTGTTTCTTGGACTTGTAAGTAGACCTTGAAAATGGCCTTAATTTCAAGCTGACACCCCCTGGATGCGGCTGTCGCAGTTTGGGACCCTCCAGCCCAGAGAGGTTTCATCCCTGGGCAGCGGGAATTGTCCCGCTGGGAATTCTGTGTGGGACAGGAGGGGCTGCTTCTCATCCCCCTGGAGATCCAGGGATTCCAGCAGCTCCCGCCTTTCCCTTCCCCCAGGGGAACCTTCCAGGTCCCCCCTCTCTCTCCTCCAAATCCCATTTCTGTGGCATCAGGCCGGTCTGGAAGCGAAGCCAGAGAAAAGCGTGGAGCGGATCCCGAGCGCTCCCAGAACAAATAATCTGCTTTTATTTCAAACAGAACAACCCTGTGCTCATTTCAGTGCAGAGAGGGAAAACCATCACTTGGCAAAAAAACCCAAAAAAGCAGGAGGAAAGTGTTAATTGGTGTTGTTGATGAGTTTGGTTTGGGTGAAGCTGTGCGGTGTCTCCAGGGGTGACTGTCCCGCCCTCCCTCCGTGTGTTCCTCTCTCCAGAAGGGCCCGAGCCGCGGTTCCGGCTGTTGCGTTTGGGGCAGAGCAGGAACGAACCCTCGGCGCATCCCCGGCTGCGACTGCTTCCTGCAGCAGCCGTGGGGAGCAGGACAGGGGTGTTCTTCACCGGGGTGTGGGTCCTGCTGTGGGACCGGGACCACGTTACACACGGTGACACACGTGTACACAGTGACACACGTACACACGGTGACACACGTGTACAGTGTCACACACATACACAGTGTCACACATGTACACACGGTGACACACGTGTACACAGTGACACACACATACACAGTGACACACGTGTACACACGGTGACACACGTGTACACAGTGACACACGTACACACGGTGACAGACGTGTACAGTGTCACACACATACACAGTGACACACATGTACACACGGTGACACACACTGCCCCCCCCCCCCCCCCCCCCCCCCCACCCAACCACACACCCAACCCCACCCA